TTCTCTTCTCTTCTCTTCTCAATTTTCAATTCTCTTCTCAATTCTCTTCTCTTCTCTTCTCAATTTTCAATTCTCTTCTCTTCTCAATTCTCTTCTCTTCTCTTCTCAATTTTCAATTCTCTTCTCTTCTCTTCTTTTCTCTTCTCGCTTCATAATGTAAACTGTTTTATTAAAGACAAAAAAAATGTCTCACTGAAAGTGAAGATTAAAACCTCAACAATCAACACATTCATGACAAAATTGGAGATCACAAACAAATATCGCTATTATATATTTAAAAGTCTAGCCAATTAAATTGCCTATTAAAAATATTAGACGCCGAAGGAAATGTTATCAAACGATCATGTTGATTGTTTCTTTGTCCTGCAGTTGTTGATCTTCAATTTCAGTTTCAGTTTCGTGTAAGAGTTCTTGTGTAAGACATTTTTTTTGGTCTTAAGTAAAAGAATTCATTATGAAGAGAGAAGAGATGAGAAGAGAATTGATCTTTGTTCTATTTCTAGTGTATTTCTCGGAGTGACAATCTCCTCTCGTTCATGACAAAAAGAATATGTCAACGTACGCTCAAATAGAGGTTCTATGTTTAAAGAAAAAAAGCTTTGAATGTAGTTCAAAAACATTTCAAACAAAGCCTCATTCCCATAATATGAAAGTTCTACGATGCTCTATCATAATTAGCGTTGTAGGCTGTAGGCCTTTCAGACTAAAATTCACAGAGAGTCTAAGCACATTTATATTTCCTACAATAGCAAAAAAAATTAACACTCTGATTTATTTTTTTTTTGAGTTTTCAGTGTTCGTGATCATGTGATCATCAGCGTTAAATCGCCTTAATGACATTACAAATTTATATTTTGTAAAAAGATTATCAAAGTTTACTTTAGTTTATACTACGTTTAACTGATCTATTTACAGAAATTTCGTTTAAAACGTTTCAGGTGTAAAATTTTAAGTCTGTTGTCTCTTATGTCTTAGCTTTCTTACTTTCATATATATCAAGCTAGGTGACAATAATTCGTTGAATACCTGGTAAGCGTTCTTCATAATGCTATAGATACGCTTTCATTGGCTTTGATTGCAGTAGCTATTTATATATGGTTAAACCATACTTTAGATTTATCATTTATCGAGATACTCTTTGTGATGCTTCACATATAYGAGTATGTCAAGTTGTTTTTTACTTTACAACCAGGATGAAAAAGTCCTTGATGTGAAGTACAACTTTCCTTGCTGTCATAAAATTCAATTCGACGACAATAGTGACCAAAGTAAGCAAAGRTTTTTACGTCTTTCTCTAGATTACATAATAGGCTTAAAATCCCTTTTTAAATCGGAAAACAAAGAATAAAATGAACTTAAGTTTCTGTGTGTAATTGTAGTTTATCATTTACGTGAAATGGGTTCGGTTTTGAATTCGCACGTCGTGGATAAAATTTTGACAAAAAATGGCGTCGAGGTCTTGAATTATTAACTGTTTCTCTCACTGCGGGCTGTTCTCCAATTAGCTTTCCAAATAGAGGAGACTTTAGGAGTCTTTAACCATTTCATGACAACTCTCGAATAGTAAAGAGCTGTCGTCGTGAAGGGATAAAAAAAGCGAAGGGTATTCACTCTATGAAGTGTGTTCTTTTGATGAGCTATATCGACGCATGAAAACAACAATTATTTGAATATGAATGGTTGCTCATGTTTGCCTTTTGGGCCAGGTGCTTTGTCAAACGCATATTAATCAGCGGCGGAGCCTCGACAAATGCAAAGGGCTTCTCGTGATTATGAATCAATTCTGTCACTACTGGCGACCAAGTTCGGTAAAATATTCCCTTCTTCGTAATTGGCTCAGAAGATGACAACTACGATCGCTTAAAAAATGCGATGTGCAGTTGATCTGAGTCAATTTACATTGAAAATGGTTGGCTTTTTGCTATAAGAATACATAACAAACCCGTCGTTGTGTCGAACGCGAAATGACCATGCGAGTGCCGACAAAAAGTAGTTGGCCGTGAATTAAGGCAAGTAATGAAGAGGTTCTTAAGCGCCAAACATTTCATTCGTTGCATTCGTATTATTCCCAGAAATGGATGGAGAGAGGAGATATGGAGAAAGTTCACCACCGAAAGATCACTATTTCTCAACTAAAAACTCGTTTAGAATGGAAAACGGCAGTCAAAACAACAACACGACTCCTCTTGCACCAATGGAGACCGAGCGACCGAGGGGTTGTTGTGCAAGTCTTCTGGACTTTATTCGTCATGATAATGAACATTCTCTTTACTGTCTTTCAACTACAAACCCCGCAAGACGACTTTGTCGGTTTATAGTGGACTCCAAATATCCTTTTAGACGTTTAAATAATATATATACAGGTCTATAAGCGCTAATCTTTTGGTGTACTGATAAAAGGACTCGGTGGTTTTCAACTATTAAATTCACTATTACGGACTATGGGATTTGCAGCGCGAATCTCCAATTCGCTCAGTGACTTTGTACTCCTATGTATTGTTAGTATTTCATCACCAAATTAATCTTTATAATACATTCTAGCTTTTATATATTTCTTTTTTGGCTGAGTTAAATTAAAGGGGAGTTTAACCTTAACATTAAATACAGCGTTTGAATATTTCATTTTATTAAATATTGTTGCGAATTGTGTTGTACTGGCCATGAATAAGCCTCTTCCTAAAAACGATAAAATTGAAATGGCGGTGGATTTGGTAAGTGACTGGATTTCTCTTTGAGTATTTCAGATTTTATGTCTAACCGTTTCTTTTTTTTTTTTCTTGTGTGTGCGTGCTCAATTTAGGAAAAGGCAGAGCTCTATTTTCTTGCGATATTTTGTATTGAGGCTTTTTTGAAAATTGTGGCTTTTGGCTTCGTACTGCACCCTGGCTCCTATCTACGAAATCTTTGGAATGTATTGGATTTTATCGTGGTCTTAGTAGGGTAAGTTTCCAATGTGATAACCATAAGCAAAAGGCATGTTTTTATTACCAAGATCATTATTTACTGACGCTTATGTGCCATGGACGAGAAAAAAAATACGCCGAAAAGCGAATTTCAAACAAGCTTTGTCTACAAAATTTTATCGTTTAAAACGTCTACTGTTTCTTCATATTTGAACGTTTAGATATCTGTGGAAATAGTTTTTCTAACCAGTAAATTCATACAAACAAAAGAGTGAATTTATTTGTTTTTACTATACGCGCATGCGCGTTGGATCACTTCCGTTTCGTTTACAAGTGAATATTACACGATGTGATTAAGAAAGGCACGTTACAATGTAAAATTAAAATTTTAAATCTAAAAAATAACTAATTTGGTAGCAAATAACCTTTAAAAGTCATATTATAAGTCGCTTTCCTCAAAAAGATGMCAATAGGTAAAATATAACGTTTTCATGGAGCTCCATCTCCACAAAATCAGAGCGGTTTGTCATATTACGAATTCAAAATGCCTTCCACATATTGCAGAAACAGCTTCGACCGCTTAGAAATTTAAATTTTTAATTCATTTGSTTGTCATTTTTGACATTTTCACTGTCAAGATTGAACAGAAACCTTTGAATCTTTAGCTCGACATAAAAAAAGATCTCATTTGTTAAAGTTTCATTTGGGGGCACTAAATATTGCCAAAATATATCATTCCACGTCCATTCATCCTGTATTTAGTTCGTCTATGTTTATTAAAGCTGGGACCGTCTCACAACTAGTCCATCTATTATTTACCAAAATATTAAATTTTAAAATGATTATTCGTGCCTTAGGCTAGCAGGCATCGACTTGTGCATTGACCTATATATCTATTACGAGATTATTTTGGAGAAAAAAATACTGGTCAATTACATATATTGAACAAATTATAGAAGGAAGAATTTGACTTTCATTTGATTTATAGAAAGAAATATTTATTGGACCTATGCAAAGCTTTTTTGGCGATGAGTTAATTTTTAAATGCTTGTCCATATATATATGTATTTTTGTGTGTGGTGTGTGATGGATCGATGACTTAGAAGAAGGTCTATTGAAATCTGAGTGGGAGGACGCACTTAATTGACTTCTCGGTATAGTCGTCCAAAGTTTTCATGATAGTTTGTCTGGTGATGTTGAGCGTAGGTAGTYCTGTAATAACGGATCGTTCAACAAGATGAAATAATCGGTGAAGAAAAACTATCGCCATAGTGCTCGACTCACAGTTTAGAAACTTGGGGATAGAAATTATGCGGCAATCTACGATTTGAGGAAGAGAGGGAGAGTGAAAGAGAAGAGAATAAATTGAGACGAAAAGAAGAAAAGTGGAGACAGGATAAATTAATTGGAAAAGAGAATAAAATAAAAAATAAGCATGAAGAGAAGATAAGGCGAGCAAAAAAAAAAAAAAACCTGAGAAGTGTAATATTATAATATTATAYAAAGTAATATTTTCTTCAGTTAAGAATAGTCAATTTTCGAGTCCCTCATTCTCTGATTTGAATTTGTGTTCTTTATATGTAGACAACTGGAGTTTTTCTTTCTGATATATAAGTACTGTAAATTCCGCCATATCGGCGCCTCATTTGATGCTAACTATCAAGAAATACAAAAGACGAGGGTATGATCTTTTAACAGGAGTAATTACCATATCAGTTAAGATTGAATRGGTTATTTTCAAATGCAGATACCTCATATTGTGTCCTATCATACAATTGCTTAGTGCAAATGAGAAAATATATTTGGTTCGAATATACATTATAATAATATTTTTGTGAATTTTATATTTTTTTTCATTCAATTACCATCTTTTGTCCTTTAAAGTATTGACATTGTTTTCGCCTTCATGATAAGGATCTGATGTTGTTCGTCCGATCCAGTTGTATCTATAACAGTATATGTTAACCTTAATATTTTGATTTATATCATAGTAGCTATCTTAGTGTTTTTGTGTGCATGTTTTAAAATGCATATTTTAAAGTTATTTTTCTTAATTTTTTCCGTTTCTTTGCATCGTTTTTCTTCACCTCGTTTACTCGCTTCTTTATTTTCATTCTTTTTTTCAAACACTTTTCTGGCTGCACAASAGAATTCTTTTTTTTTTAATCTCAAAAACAGCTAGTTTAAACAATTACGTTAATTGTAGTTCAATAATCCGAGTATCCCGATACTTGATTGCTGCACTAAACAAATTCTGATGAAATTTCACGCTGTTCCATTGACGTAAAAACCAGCGAAGATCTTAAATATAGAACCTTGAGTGTGATCTTATTAATATTGCTTTCTTAAATAACATCTGAGAAGCGTTTAACATCAAATTAAATCGAGTAATTTTGCGTGATCGGTGAATTAAAAGAGACTATGGCTGCGTTTGTGCGTACATGGATGTTTTCGAAACCGCATATTTCTCGCCTATCGTTTATACAAAACCGACGAAATATACGATCATATACTGGTGCCTTCCTGTTAATGATACACTTGTATTTATGCAGGAAAACCGATGCGACGTAATTGTACGTATTCGTTTGCCTTTACGCCAATATCGTTTACACGAAACCGCCCTAACATGATGAACGTATATGGATATTTTTGAATAGAAAACTCTGTGTTTTTTTTTTTTTTTGTTTTTGTTTTTGTTTAAACTTAAATAAGACAATTTTTAAAAAGATAGCCGGATTCGTGTTAATGTAACCTTATAGTTCGTGATAACTGGTAAAACTCAAAGAAGATCAGAGTAGTMCTGCGTTGCTGTTCGGCGCAAAACCGCTTTTTAAGTCTTTTCAATATGGTGACATTTACTAGAGAAAATGAATTTATTTTATTCGCATTCACTTGATTTTGATAGCAGTGCGTTCTAGTTGGATTTGGTTTAATACAAGGATTATAATATAAGCAGTTTAATTATCTCGATTTCGTAGAGCATTTGTTATATTAGATATGTTTTGTTTTCGCGCGAAAATTGATTCCAATACGACTGTCTAAGTTTGCTCAATAATGAATCTAATGTCAGAAATTCTTATCTTAATAATTAATCACTTGAAGAAATTAGCATTTAAACCATTGACTGGAGTTATTTAAAATATCTTATTGGAGTTTTGAAGTATTCTGGAATTCGCGCCAAATTAACTTATTGCGCGCGCGCGTCATAACACGTGAAAAGGGCGGGAATTTTCTTAGCTCGTTACGGGACAAAGTTTAATAAACAACAGCAAACACTTCCATGAAAACTTTGAAAGTCCGAGGATTTTAGTGTCCATTTGTTAGCTTTCTAAATATATTTTGATAGTATTTGGTAAACTGCAGTCGGATGGAATTCGCGCCAAATCAATAGTTGAGGCACGCTTGCGCGACCAGTCTTAAAAAGAGCGGGAAAAATTTCAGAAGTTGCTTATGTTATTAATAATCTTATGATGTCAATAAGAATCACAATGGATTTTTATATGTTTATTTTTTTCAGAATCTTTAGTTTAGAACAATTGCCGTGGAATGAAAATAATKTCTTTGATGTGAAAGCTCTTCGTGCTGTCCGAGTGTTGCGACCTCTCAAGCTCATATCAGGAGTCCCAAGTAAGTGAGCTAAACTCCCGTCTACACGAGCAATTTTTATGTGACAACTATATATGGCAATTTTTATTTGTCCGTGTGGACAGGCAGCAAATAATTGTTGAAGATTCGCGCCAAGTGTGATTTTGCACAGCGGAGATGCCAATAAACAAAGCAAATTTGGTTGGTTTTAGCTCTTAGAACAACAATAATAACATTCTCTCCGTCGATCCGGTCGTTCTGCTTACTATCGGCGTCGCTATCTTGGTTGGTGTGCAAAATGTTGAGACTGGGATTCAGTGTAACATCAAAATAATTGCCACATTTTATGTGACGCTCGTCCACACGGGCAATTTTCGATATGTGACAATTTTTAGTTGTCACATAAAAACTAGCATGCCAGCTTTCCAGCAACTACAGTTGTCACATAAATTATAAGAAAAAGCAACTAGTATCTGCATGCGCAATGATTGGTTGAACTGTGCAAAACCCCGTGTCTATCTAACAATTAGATCTCGAGGGCGAGTGGCTATCAGCTCGTAGTCCACGAGGCCGAGAGATCTAATTGTTTTAGTATTATCAACGCCGTAGGACACCGGTATATCATCGCATATTTAAGAACTAGAAGATATTTTCCGTGTTTAATTCTCTGTTAGAAACACGTAGGATTGTTGGGGGGATACCATACGAGGTTTTAAATCACCAGCTAAAATCGAGTAACATCTTCTAATGTTTTTACAAAATAACAACAACTACAACCCTATTTGAAACCCTAAGTTTCTATGCGCTTTTAGTATTACCCATACTAGTGGACTATTGCAAATCCTTCGTTCTGATTGGCTACACTACTCGGGATCTATTTTCAGTAGTCCTCCACTAGCAAAAAGCGACGACKTTTTGCGTATTTTTAGCAATAACAACATTTAGTTATTCATATATTTCATTCATTTTTTGTCCAACTAGTATGGTAATACTGAGAATATTCAGGGAGGAAAGCCGATGTTATGTTATTTGCTCATTCGTTTGCGAGTCCATCTGTTCCACTGATCAAGGTTTTTGTTTCAACACATTTTGCGGCTTTGTCGCGGTTGTATTCAACTAAACCTGTAATTTTCTTCCTTGAATTTCACAATAAAAGCTGCTCATAGCAGATCATATGAAATCATCCACTACATTCTAACCAAGCCCACATAGCAATAAGTCTTATTGTCAATTCAGTCCATCCTTGTAAAATTCATACTCAGCCATTAATGATTAATTAATGATTTTTTATTTCTTCTACTTTTTTATTTTATTATGCTTTGATCAATGATATCACATAATTTATTATTTTTTTATTGTTGTATCTGTTTTTCTTGTTTGTTTGTAAATCATTTACATCAAATWTACATCATGTTGGACACTTAYATCATATTTACATCAAATTTASAACCTTGAAAGTGCGCGATTTTTTCCAGTGAATTTTCTCATTTTCAAGTCATTCTTTTGMCCGTCTTTCACTCCTAAATGCCGTCCATTTAACTGTCCGTCTAACCAGCCATCCATTTTTTATTCGTTTCTCTTTATCTGTCCTTCCGTTCATCCGTCTGTCCCCGTCCGTCCATGTTTCCATCTTTAGTTCTCTTCTTCCCCAGTCTATCACCTCTTCGATTTTTAATTCGTTCCTCCCCTTATTAATGGTTTATATTGCTTTATAGGTCTACAAGTTGTTATGAAGTCTATTGGACGTGCAATGGTACCCCTTCTACAAATCGCCTTATTAGTTCTATTCGTTATTGTAATATATGCAATCATTGGTCTAGACTTTTTAATTGGGAAATTTCACTATACGTGCGTCAAGAATACAACTGAWGGAGGTAAGTAGAGGCTGTTTATCGCTCGTTTTCCCGAGGGGTGGGGTGACGGAAATGTTCGCTGCWSGTACTTCTAAACCCTGACCCTATTCAAGACAGCAAGATCGTGAAATTCCAATACATAACCAGATAGTGTTTCCCCAAACGATGTCATTAAATCATTTCTGTTCATATGTATCTTTTTTGTCCATTTATTTTGTTATTGTTATTGTTAAAGTTCTTGTCATTGTCGTTGCTGTTGTCATTGTTGTTGTCGTTGTTTGTTATTGTTGTTTGTTGTTGTCGTTGTTGTTTGTTATTGTTATTAATTAAATTGACAAATTTACTCTGAACTTTTATTCAAGTTAAATGGCTATCAAAGACAAATCCCCAACCTTGTGATGGTGGTGGTAAATTTCATGGTTTGCGTAGTTTCCTTCACGGCAGAAAGTGCAATGAGTCTGCTGGTTATAACTGCAGTAAGGTGTGGGTAGGACCTAACCACGGCATCACGTCATTTGATAATATTGCTCTTAGTATGATAACAGTATTCCAGTGTATTACAATGGAGGGCTGGACTGAGATYATGTATTTGGTAAGTGCTGCACACGACTTCCTGGTAGTTCAAGATTGATTATTGGGGGACTAGTGACGAACCATCTAAAAAACACTACAAAGATCGCTTTTACGGCAGTGTCAAAGTTTKAAAGATTTATTGTACAAAGCAATATATAGTGTCATCTTTGACAAATAATATCATACATATATATCTATTTCAAACAAGGTTGTGGCAAATGTTCATAAAATGGTAAATGTCAATTTTCGAACGGCGATTGCACGACCGAAAGAAGCCATGGGATTTGCTAATTAAAGGGAAATAACAACTGGCTATACTTTAAGATTGTCTGTGGTAAACATYGGCTCCATTTAGACTTTATTTCTATGGAAGATGAATCCAATAAGTGAAATTTTGTTTGTCAAAACAGCGTAACCATAGCCCTTTTGTTCAGTCGTGCAATTACCCTTCGACAATCGCCGTTCGCCGATCTCCCCGACAACGTTTTTTAAATAGGTGTATATTTACTTATTTAAGAGCCAAGAGATTTGGTATATTATTGTTTTGAGCTATTTTGCCCGGATTTAAATGTGCTGTGACGTCGTAAAGCAAAATAGGACTTGTAGAATGATTCCAGCGTGGGCTTTGAGAACTTCCAGTCACGATTGTTGTGAACTCAAAGAACACGCGGTTCATTGCTCATAAAACCATATTGATGCTCGTGCTCTTTACACATATAATCATTTCATTTCTTTTTGTTTCAGACATTTCAAGCTATAGACCTTTATGGCTACCTTTATTCTATCTACTTTGCGACACTTATTGTGATTGGCTCGTTTTTTATGCTCAATTTAGTCCTTGGTGTTTTGAGCGGGTAAGTCGACTTCGCATGGATTTTTTTTAATTATTGTTTGGCGTATAGATTGGGTTGAGCTGCTCAAATTTCAATCAGCGCATGTCTTAGAACCTTCCAACTCTGCATCTTGTGATGARTAAGACCTTTGAGCCTAACCGTAGGTTAACTCTTTAATGATCAATGGAGGCAACCCTGTATTAACGCTAATATACGGGCTTTAACAGCAACTCGAGCACTCTTGATTTCACGAGTTACTCGTATGATGATTCATACATATAACTAGTAGTATTATTGACTCGAATTCAGCAACTCTGGTCTTTTTTAAACGGTTTTTTTCGCGCATTGAATGGCTCGAGCTGCTCAGAGTTCAATTTGCGCTTATCCCAGCTCATCTTCACCTTCGGACTGTGCATCTCTTGATGGCTAATCGAAGGTTAAGTACTAAATACTCAATGGAGMCAACCCTGGAGTAACTCTAATGTACGAGTATGAACAGTAACTCGTCCTCTTGATTTCAATTTAGCGAGTTACTCGTATAATGATTCATACACTTCAAAATGACGGCTATAYATTTGTTTTTCTTACTGGCAGAGAATTCGCAAAAGAGAGAGAAAGAGTCGAAACGCGCAGAGCGTTTTTCAAAGTAAGACGGCAGGAGCAGCTCGAGCGAGAAGTTGCTGGTTACATCGAATGGATTAGCAAAGCAGGTAATTTGCATATTTTTTCATTTTTCAAATATGGATGTGGTCACGTGATGGCTCCAATATGGCTATTACCATTTGATTYATCCAATATGGTAGGTCACACGTGATATATCCTATCCGGTGTGGTTGCCCTCACGTAATCCATTCAGGACACCACGTGATGCATTTAAAATGGCAAACACCATCACGTGATACATCCATTCTGACATCACGTGACACATTCAAAATGGCAGTGATCACGTGTTATCTATTTATTGTTTTATCAGAGGAAGTAATGACGAAAGAAGCTCGTAAAGGTGATGTTAGACATATGTCAGAGCCAAGTGAGTCTCAGGCTCACGTGATCAGTAATGATCTCGTTGTCAACCCAATGGCAGTTCTCACCAAACCTGTTGGTAACGGCTACCGACTCAATGTCCCAGAAAGGTAAGTAGTACTAGAATTAAAAAATAACACGCGCCCCCACCCTCTTAGGCTCAGAAATCCATCTCCCGACTCTATGAGATTGTTTTCTCATATATTTCGAACGGAGTCTGTGAAATATAAACGTTCTTGAATTTTTTTATACACAAACAACATACTAGTTGTGTTTATAATAAAAAACTGAATAAAAAATTTTGTCACTAGCCTAAGATTTTAATGAAAAAAACGCAGACGTTTCTGTCAGAACTATGACCTTCTTCAGTACGTTGTAATAAAAGAGCTAAGTTACGTCTGCGTTTTTCATTAAAATCTTAGGCTAGTGACAAACATTTTTGATTCAGTTTTTTATTATGACTCTTCCTAGCTGCAATTCTAAAATATTTAGTTGTGTTTATGTAAGCTTGTAACTTTRTTTCCCCTTAGAACAAGTAGAATGGACCGATTCCATAACCTCGAAAGTCAAGTCCGTATCAAACTCCGAAAAGCCGTCAAGTCGCAGTGGTTTTATTGGACGATTCTTTTGTGCGTCTTTTTAAACACAGTATCCTTAGCAACAGAACATAATAACCAACCTCCTTGGCTCGGGGAATTTCAAGGTAAATTTGTTTGACAGAAAGAAAAAAACCCAGAGTTTTTCCACGACAGGAAGACGGTTGGGGATTGGGGAAGACAGCCGCCACAAAACTTCCAGGTTTCCTAGGCTACAAGACACACGCTTTCATTTTTKTAAAGAAAACACAATAACARYGGATTTCTTTGACAGGTTGTTCACTATCAGGAATGGAATAGTACATGGACTTCTTTTTCCTATTATTCTTGGCTCTCATTGCAAATGGCGTAGTTTCATTTTCTTCTAGTATGAAATAGCATAACTCCTTTCAGAGGCTGCAGAGSAGAGCCTTTCTGATGTCAAATAGAAGGAAAACACTTGACATTCCTTATGACTTTTMTTGTTATAACTGACTCGTACCCAGTCGTTTCTCTTGCTCGTTTTTCGGGTCCCGTTGCATCAAGGGAAGTCCGAACTATTTCCCTTGATCCTTTGCGCGCGCCAGAGAAAAAAGAAGAGTAACGATGGGCACGAGTCTGTTGTTTTAAGCTGAATCTCAGCTGAATACTAATTTCTGATTTTGGTTAATTCCACAGAATGGGCCGAGCGAATATTTCTAATCATATTTATAGTAGAGATGATTTTAAAGATGTACTCGTTGGGAATGCGAATCTACTTTTCTTCGAGTTTTAATATTTTTGATTGTGTGGTAAGGATTGCTTCGAGTATTCAAATTTTTGGAGAATTATCTCTTTGAAATAAGAACTTTCTATTCTTTGTGTGCAAGTTACGTCATCACCGCCATGTTGGATGAAGATCACAAAGCATTCCTCATTAGTTTCTCTTGTTCATTCATCCAACATGGCGGCGATGGCTTTGTTCTTTATTTCTCAGGGATTCTTGGTCACGTGGTTGCACACCAAGAATGATTTAAAAAAATCCAATTTCAAAGGATGACTTCTAAAAATAGTGCGGGTTATGTGTATTCGACTTTCTTATCAACGAAGTTCTTTTTCTTTTTTCGAGTTATCAACTCACGTATCTCGTAAATGAACTTGTATTGGTTCGCGCAACGAAATAATCAGCTAATTTTTTTTGTGTTTTCTAGGTGGTATGCTCTGGTATAATTGACACAATTTTAGGTGAACAATTAAACCTAAACCTTGGTATTAGTGTTTTACGGTGCTTAAGACTTCTTAGAATATTTAAAGTCACAAGGTACGTGCTTCATGTTCTTTGTTGTTGTTGTTGTTGTTGTTGTTGGTTTTGTTCAACGGGGTTCCTTTGTTGTTGTTCGTGAGGAGACTCGAGCCGAATATGGGTGATACGCATTTTAATGTTCAACTAGACCTTTTTACTGTAGAGTGTTTCATTGCTTTATCCTCATCAATTATTCATTAATTTGAATTATTTCTATTTCCATGGTAACAGACATTGGACGTCATTACGTAACTTAGCAACGTCGCTGATCAGCAGCATCAAGTCAATCATCAGCTTGATATTCTTATTGTTTTTGTTTATCTTAATATCTGCGTTACTTGGTATGCAAGTCTTCGGCGGAAAGTAAGTGTATGAGTGTGACAACAGAATTAGTTGTTAAWACTGACGTCATCATTGAAATCAGTGTTTTTWAATTGTCACTTGGTTTGTTAGTGACATTCTGAATTAGTAAATAGTTGAACATCARAATCGTTGGCATCATAAGTTTTAAGTGTCAATAGTTCAAAGTTTTTTTGTGATTCTCGAGATTATGTTAAACGTAGTTCGATATGACGTCATTCGTAAATGAGGATGACGTCAACAATATTGAAAAATGATCTCGTTAGTGTAAAGTCATGTGATATTGCTRCTTTTATRAAATGCATTATGACGTCAATTTTGTACTTTGTCTTTCAGGTTCAGTGAAAAAAGTACGCCGAGAACGAACTTCGATAATTTTCCAAATGCAATGTTAACAGTTTTCCAGGTACAKTGACAACCCCATTATAACGATCGCCTTTGCCCAACCTCTACATCTGTTCCCCTRGCTACCTAAAGTCGTGCACTGAAATATAACAATAGCTATATTTGGTATGTTTAGATTCTAACGGGAGAAGATTGGAACGCAGTCATGTATAATGGTATGATGGCCTATGGTGGTCCACATACGCTGAGTGGTGTTGCTGTTAGCCTATACTTTGTATTTCTGGTTATCATAGGGAACTGTATCCACTGTTAATATTTATAGTTAATTATCATAAATTAGCATAATTATCATAAATTAGCATAATTATCATAAATTAGCATTATTACCATAAATTAGCATTATTATCATAAATTAGCATTATTATCATAAATTAGCATTATTATCATAAATTAGCATTATTATCATAAATTAGCATTATTATCATAAATTAACATTATTATCCTAAATTAGCATTATTATCCTAAATTAGCATTATTATCTTAAATCAACATTATTATCATAAATTCATATTATTATCTTAAATTAGTTTATTATCATAAATTAGAATAATTACCACAAATTCATATTATAATCATAAATTAGTTTTATAATCATAAATTAGTATTATTATCATAAATTAGTTTTGTTATTATGATTCATATTTATCTTAGAATCATCTATGAAATACCTATATATCTCAATTTCGTAAAGTAAAAATAACACATTCGAGGTTTCTCTGTATATAGTGAGAAAAAAAGGTATTTTGTGGCAAAATAATCGCTCGCTACGCTCACTCGCGAGAGATCTTTTCAACACTCAATAAARATAAAATCCGTATATATCTGGGGTCTGCTGACCCATTGTCATCTGCTGGATGGCAAAGGTATGGGCACTGGGTACGAGATTGTATGAACTAGGACTTACTCTGGTAAACCTTGTAGMAAGTCCTTAACATCTTAAACAGATACACTTCTGAACGTATTCTTGGCCATTGCAGTTGATAATCTAGCCAACGCTCAGATCTTAACAGAGGACGAAGAGAATGAGAAAAAAGAGCGCGAAATAAAAAGAGCCAAAACGAAAGAAATGTATTCTACGAAATCAGTAGAAAATCGGCAAGAGCCTAAAMGGATTAGTCACTGGGGAAAGACAAAGTCAATACCAAAAATATTACAGTTAAAGAATAAACTTATTCAGAATAAAGAGCTGAATGATGTSAACGACATTGAAGGGTATGAAGATTCATGAAACTTGTTTACGAATATGCACAAATGTTAGTCTGATATACAAATATTTATGCTGAAATGTATTCAGTGTTGGTCCGCTGTTCTAAGAAATTTRCRCAAATGATACTAAAATGTAAAAATACAAGTTAAGTGTGTGCACAGAATTTTTGCTGTTCTCGGTGAGTAAAACGCTGGGTCAAGTGACTTTTCCTACCTGTACACACTGGATAGTATTGTATATGCTATAACTATGCTAAAATAGTTTGCTTTATATYGATTCTTCTTTCCTTTTTGATCAACAGAGGAACGGGTCGAAACGATGCAAAAAGATTTTCCGAGGTATGAACTTCATCTCATTTGAGTATGAACCGCAACAGAGACATTTTTTAGGAAATATTTTTTTAGTAAACAATTAACCTCAAGTAGATGTCCATCGTGCATCTTGATAAAAACTGTTATCTTTTATTGCAGAGTCTCGGCAAGAAAATCGAGCTCTATCGCCGTGAAGATAGTTTGTACTCCAAGAAAGGCAATGGTCAAATCAGCGGAGGAGAAGGCAATACTTTAGATGAGAATTCTGGTCGAATAAAGCGACGAGTTCGAGAACAGAGGGGTGGACGGTTAGGACGTGGAAGAGGAGGAAGAGGAAAAAGTCAGAGTGATGGCGAAGGAGTCAAAACAGAAGAAGAAGAAGGTAAGTTTAATATATTTTTCAAAAGCGAACAATATAGTGCAAGAAGGCCCCTTATCAGAKGCGTGCAGACAACACAAAAATTATTTCCGATGGTTTTGGATACKGTCAGATAGTGTGAATAGTGCCACATGACTAGCAATCTGAACTCCCGACAAAMGTTTGTTCCTAAAGTTCAGAATCCAGATACTTCGAATCCGGAAAGGCGTAAATTAAATCCAGAATACAAATTAGAGATTTCAAATTTTTCCTAACTGTAAACGAGTCATCGACAATGAAAAACGAGTATGCTTTGTATTGGTGGAATCCAGAAACCTTGCGAAATCCTTCATGGAAAGCAGAAAATCAGCAGTGGCTTGGAATACGGAACCAGGAGCGCTACGGATTCCTTTTATGGGCCGAATTTTGGATGGACTTTTTGACTTCARAGATGATGAAAAATCGCTCTAATGCAAAGTTTTATTGTTTCAGATGAGGATGGGGAAATCACTGCTAGTAACTTCATGCATGTTTTAAAGACGGGACGCTTTGGAAATCGTCGACGTCGCACACCCAAAGATGTCCAGATCATCAAAACAAGAGCATTGTTTATTTTTGGGCCTGACAATTGGTAATAACGAGTCTTCATGACAAATTTTTTATCAAAGCATCAATAATTTGACTCATTGTACAATTGCAGTGACGCAATTTCTTAGAACGCGTTGCACGGTGGGAACGGACTTTTGGATCTCWTCAACAAAAAGACATAAGAGCGAGAATACATTTGACGCCATGCTTTGCTCGAAAAAAATGCATTACGCATTGTAAAATCATTGACTCTCTTAAGGCCCGTTTACACTTGTAATTTTTGCAGCGCGATTGTCGYGCGACAATCGCCTTAGTTTCGAAAATGCTTGAAATTTAGCTGCAACTCGCGGCGATTTTTGATCGCCGCGACAATCGCAGGCTGTTTACACGTACGACTTGAGGTGCGAAAGAACAAAGTGGCGATTGTCGCGCGACACTCGCGCTGCAAAAATTGCAAATATAAACGGGCCTTWAGCGTTCTATGGCGCAATCTTACTTTCTTTGGTAAATATTGTGATTKTTGAGTGAAAATGTTAGGAAGCCTAATTTTTAAGCAATTATTGGATTTTTTCAGTAAGTTTTTTGGAGCAGTAAAAGCTTGCTAGAGAAAAACCTGTAAATCACAGATTGATAACTCAAAGTTTCTCTCAACAGCTTTCGTCGTCTTTGTCATCGTATCGTTTGCCTTCCTCACTTTGATAATTTCATGCTGATTGTTATTATGCTGAGTAGTTTGGTTATCGCTATTGAAAACCCTGTGTACGACTATGCGGAAATCAACCAGGTAAAACAATATTTAACAATTAGACCTCGAGGTCGAGTGGACTACGAGCTAATAGCCCATGAGGCCGAGTCCGAGAGGCCGAATGGGCTATTAGCTCGTAGTCCACGAGGCCGAGAGGTCTAAATGTTTTAGTATAAACATACTAATCGGTCAAGTAATGAAAACAAATTGAAATGTCCTTAAAATAATTTATTAATGAGATGCCGCCATTTTGATTTTCCGGCGAGTGGTCTATCACAAATTAGACCATTAGTAGAGTAGGCAATCACAGCGCAGTATGAGTGATAGACCGTTAGTATGTTTATACTAATGATCGATTATTGAAAAAAACTGTTGTGTAAAAAGATAAATTTAACACCTTAAAAAAGTAGGTGAAACAACTCTACTGACATTTCGGACGTTAATCCTTCGTCGGAGTAAAGAGCAAAGGATTGACGTCCGAAACGTCAGTAAGTTATTTCACCTACTTTTGTCTTTTTTACGGTGTTAAATTAATCTTTTAATTATATCCATTTTGAAATCACAAGTGAAYCYTGCAATCTGATTGGTTCTTAGCMGGTTGATTTCAGCCTAAATCGCACCATTTTGAACTATTAATCACCCTCCTTTGGGGAGCAAATATTGTATTTGTACGAATTAATAAAGTTCTATGCTGTACAATGTGTTAGATTTCAAAATGGATATAATTAAGTGGTAATTGAAMTTCGTGTCGTGCAATTTTGGTTCGAAATCAAACGYGTTATTCAAAATCGCACGTCCGCGTAGCGCTCCACTCAGTTCAATTACCATTATTAACAAMTGAAAACTGTTTCTTYAGAAACATCGWCGCAGCTCACACTAGTATAGCTTACCGCCAGTTTCTTCCGCCAGTTTCTTCTTCTTCAGTCATTCAGAGCGTACATCTTTGAGATGATTAATGTAGTATATGTGCTGTATTAAGCCAATCAGAACTCGCGTTATATTTCAAACATTTCATAGATGATTAGTAGTATATGTCATGTTTTCAGCCAATCAGAACTCACGATATATCTCGAGAATCTTATAAATGATTAGTTCAGTGTATATGTCGTGTTTTCAGCCAATCAGAACTCACGATATATCTCGAGAATCTTATAGATGATTAGTTCAGTGTATATGTCGTGTTTTCAGCCAATCAGAACTCACGATATATCTCGAGAATCTTATAAATGATTAGTTCAGTGTATAAGTCGTGTCTTCAGCAAATCAGAGCGCATGTTATATCTCAAGCATTTTATAGAAGATAAGAAATATATATATGTCTTTTGTCTATTGCAGTACCTTTGGTACTTCGACTGTGTTTTTACAGCTATATTCGTCTTTGAAGTCGTCGTAAAGGTAAAACAAATCAGCTCATTTTGTATTTCTTTTTGCATGGATTAATATTTCGTATTTGCACAAAATGGCGCCGCGGSAAATAGTTTATTACGATGCGACATATCCKTCTTGAATCACTACTTCATTTTTGGATCACCAGGTCATCGATATGGGCCTAATAATCCACAAAGGAGCATATTTGCGAAGTGTTTGGAACATCATCGACTTCATTGTAGTCATATGCAACCTTGCATCATTGATTCTGTCGTAWGTAAACTTTTACTTTTACTTTTTTTATACTTTTGGGTTCCCTGTGGGAAAWATAGGGAAGAGAGGGGAYTGGGGGGCTAGYACTAGTCCCGCTTTCTTGCTGATTAAAAGCCCGGTATTAGTTCCTWGAAAGGAAAGAGYCAACTACGATGAAGGCTGTTTAGGGCTATCGTCTTTTATCAGACTTATGATGTAATGATCTACCTTATGACGTATCCTTTTTTTAAATGTTAATAAAAATCCTTTCTAATTCTCCAGGAAGCAAGATAAAGGAAAAACCAATAGAATTGGTAGCTCTGCAATTCGAGCGCTTCGGGTCATGCGGGTTTTGCGTCCCTTTAAAAGTGTGCATAAAATCAAGAAATTGCAGGTGATATTTAGAATTCAGATTACAAATGCTTCAAACTGGACGTTGTTTTTTTTGTGAACCTTGTTTTGTTTGAAACGTTATCTTTCAATTTTCAGGCTGTTTTTCGTTGTATGTGGTTCTCCGTGAAGAACGTCGCCAACATCGGRATGATTACTGTGTTATTCTTGTTTATCTTCGCTGTAATGGGTGTTCAGCTATTCAATGGAAAGTTCAGCTACTGTACRGACGAAGCAAAGCTCACTCAAGAGGAATGCCAGTAGGTGTTAATGCGTCATATTAGTAATTTCACTGGAAAAAATCGCGCACTTTTAWAGGTTGTATATCATTTTAGACCCTTACATTATATTTTCATCAAATGTACAACCTTTAAAGTGCGCGATAGTTTTTCCAGTGTTTGGTCATCTATAGCCTCCCCTCCCTCACTCGTTTGAAATTCTCTAAGTCGTCCTAATACTCAAAGATATTTACCGTTGCTACATCGCAAATCAAWTTCGTTCCCAGGGCCTTTATCCTTTTAGGGGTCAGGCGGGACACATGGCGAAGGGATAAAGGTACTGGGAACGAGGTTGTGCGCAAATTTTTGTATGTCATTCAAGTATTGTTGTATAATTTTCCCATTTCTTTATTGCATTCGATTATTCGTTATTCCTTTGATTCATCCATYGCCATTAAAACATCTTTCTTTACATTTACGATATATTTCTCACAAAGCATTCTGGTAGTTGTAGTTAATGAAGCCATAATACTAATCGCCTATTCAATTTTCTTTTGAAGAGGACAGTACTTACAGTACCAAGAAGTTGATGGTAAACTAGGCAAGCCAGAGGTGAACCTTACTGCAGTATTTTACACTAAATAATAATCTACCTTGTTGGAAAATATGTGGCGATATATTGAAAATAGATTTTATTAGCTAATGCGTTGYCATGGACGTTGGAACCCAATTCATATCCTGTGAGAAAAGGAACTGTTGACTCCGTAAACTCAACAGATTAATTAATTGCTTTCAGAAATGTTTTTGTTGTTTAGCAGCCATATATAGTAATCTTGCTTTATTTGGAAGTGCATGTGGGTTCGTTTATGGCGATTTTCTCGATAAAACTTTAAAATTGCGGATATTMTAGAGAAACCAGCTATCTTGTTTTCTTGCTGTCCATATATGGCGCACATAAAGCAAAACTACAAAGCACAGGGGTCACGCAGAAATGGCAACAATTTATTGWTATTTTGTGAAAACAGACTATAACGAACAATGAAACTAACGTTTAATGGCAAACTCRTCAACCAATTAAGTCGATAACATAGCTGATATACCAAAAACACTATTATTGTAGGTTAAAGAACGCAAGTGGAAAACCAGGGTATTTAACTTCGATGACGTAGGGCATGCCATGCTTACACTGTACACGTCATCTACGGGCGAAGGTTGGCCGACGTAAGTATCCCGTTTATCATTCTGTCAAAGAAAGTCTTTTTTTCCCCTGCGCTCGCTTTGTGCTTAMTTTATTAGTTTTCGAACATGATGTTTGTAGTTTAAGGCCTTGTGATCGTCCCAGACGCATTTTATCGTATTTCTAATCCAATAGAGGGATAGCTAATCTTGAGAAGTTATCTTTCAKCAACATGTTAGTAATAATATAGCAGATACGTTATAGCTATTAAACTTTGTCAGTCATGTTGATGCTGTAGAACAGCGAAAGCTTGACTTCATATAAAGTTTATTTACCATCTAACAGCAGTATCCGGCCGCATTTGCTATATTATTACTCCAATTGAGGGAATTAACAGCAATAGAAAAACGCGTCCATAAATGTGGCCAAGAAACTTGGACCCTGTAGGGTGCCTCTAGTTAGTAGACTCAAACTTTTTTTTTTATTTTCTCTCGGAGATTTAATTCAAAAGAGTTTGGACCTTTACGTAGGGGCACCCTTCTCATTTATTAAATGGCGCCTTGGTCCTCCACAGTTTTTCCAAGTGGCTAGTGCCTCGCAACGAATCTCGAGCCACTATGCTATGACATTGTAACTGTGTGCACCTGTAATTCGAAATATCGTGGTTATTACTCGCATTTTTTWAATAAGAGCTTATCTATAGTCTGTAAGAAGACAGAAACAATACGTTAATAGCTCACCAGGGTGTATGCTTTATTTTTTTTTATTTTTTACAGTGCTATGCATTACACCATGGATACCACAGAGAAGGGACGCGGGCCGGTCCAAGATAGTAACACGCCCTACGCTATCTACTACGTTAGCTTTGTCGTCGTTTTTTCCTTCTTCTTCCTCAACATCTTCGTCGCTCTGATTATTTTGACTTTTCAAGATCTCGGAGAAAAGGAGATCTTAAATTGTGAGCTGGATCGAAACCAGAGAGACTGCGTCCACTTTGCGCTAACAGCTAAACCAGTTCAATTGTACATGCCGAACAATAAGAAGACGTTTCAGTACTATGTATGGATGTTGGTGACGTCGAAGCCCTTTGAGATCTTGATTATGGTGTTGATTTCACTTAATACTATAGTTCTTATGATGCAGGTTGGTAGTTGAGATTGAGTTCGATACCATTCTGTCTTATTTTGTGCAAATCTATTCCAGCCTATTCCATTGCATTCGATTTTATCCCATTCCATCCCACCCCTTTTCATCCCATTCAATTCTATTCTATTCTATACCGTTCCAGCTTTTTTTTTAATTTTTTTATTCCAATGTAATAAATATACATAATACATTTAGTTACATTTAGTGCAACAAAACAAAAAACAAAACAAAACACAAAACGATGAAAACAAAGATACTCATATTATCACCTTGGAACCGTTCCAGCTTATTGCATTTTGTTTTCTCATACCATCCTATCCCTTCTCAATTCATTCCAACATATACCATTCCATTCCATTGTATTCTATTCTATCCGTGATTCAAAACTTTTCTCGTGTGCCCAAACGACTGATCCCGCGTGTTTCTAACTTAGCTTCTATGTGACCTTTTCGAACACGACTACGTTTTCAATTAGGTGTATTCACAGGTATCTAKCATTGCATGCTCACCGGTTGTCTCGCTTCGATGTAAAGGCACGGCTATTTTTCAAGATGGCGCTGGGAACCGCGAAGGACACTACTTCTCTCATTGTTTTCTTTGTTTTTATCTTAGTACGATGGCCAGCATAAAGACTACAAAAGCGTGTGTTCAAAGCTCAACATCGCGTTCACTGCTTTGTTCGTTGTAGAGGCTGCTTTGAAACTCATCGCTTTTAGATTGGTAAATTTCAAAAATTGCGTGACCATTAAATGAAAATGTTGCGTGACTAATAGGATTGCGTTATGTGTTTTCCTAGAATTACTTTCGTGACTATTGGAATGATTTCGATTTCATCGTTGTACTCGGAGGACTTGCTGATATTATATTGACTTTTTTAGACGTAAGTACCACAACAGGGCGATKATTATGATTATGATTATGTTGATTGAATTTGTTTTATCTGGTTTCAGAGAGAAGACATACCGATTGATCCCAGTATGTTTAGGTTATTCAGAGCAGCACGACTTATAAAATTACTACGGCAAGGATACACAATACGAATACTGCTSTGGACTTTCTTTCGCTCATTTAAGGTATTTTAAGTACAATACGCAATGAATGCATATAAACTATAATAAGCAATAGTTATGATGATAAATTATCCTCTGACTAAGTACAGACACGTCTGCTGATGAAAAGCGCACACCCATTATCTCTCAACAATTAGTTATAATAAAGCTTAAAGCATGGAAACGTTTGTTTAAATGGAATGAAATCACTTTCTTTAATTACATTCGAAGAAAACTGCTACAGCCATTTCAAAGAAACACTTGCTATGTAGTATATAGGGAACTTGGTGGTTTATGAACGCTACCTTTGAGTTACTTTTTGATTCTTTCAGGCTTTGCCCTATGTCACTCTTCTTATTCTTCTGATGTTCTTCATGTACGCCGTCATAGGGATGCAGGTAACGCAACGCTAGATGCTTTAACACAGACGTGGAATAACACTTATCTCACTAGAGTGTTATTCAATTTTTCTGGATACCATGAGAATTCAATGAAAACTCACCATTTCAACTTTTGCAGCTGTTTGGAAAAATAGATATTCACCAAGAGGACTCCGCATTGACCGAGTTCAACAATTTCCGGCATATGCCAATGGCAGTCCAAGTTTTATTCAGGTAAAAATACCCATAATTCATTTTGGTCGTACAAACCCCGCCGTTCTTTAATCACCATGCAATCGTGCAACTACAATCCCGGACAAARCCCGTTGAGACACTTTATTTTATCCTCCCTTCCCCCCACAAAACAATTTGTTGTGTGTGACGTGATGCTAGAARKGTGTGCATGATTGTTCAGTCCTTTCARCATRAWTTKRRGGGRRRAARGGGGRRRWTTT